ATGGTGCTTTCGGTGTCTGCCCGAAGTCACTGTAATTCCTGTTAGATACCAAAGGATGTTTTATTTCCTTACAGCAAAGAAAACATTACAGAGTATCTACAGACACACTAGGGAGAAACCGAATGTCCGTCTGTTGAGGAAACAGGCTGAAGAGGTCAACCACCTGGATGTTGGGTGTTCCCATCATTCCTGCAGCATCTGGGAATGGTGCGGATGATCTGCAGTAGATGATTCTGGTTGTTGTGGATCGTGTGTTCTGGCAGATGTCTTTGGATTCAAAGACCTCTGCACTGAAACAATTGCAGGGCCACATGGAGAGGGGCATTCACAGCTGGACACATGAAAACAGAGTTCTTTGAAGAGGTAGTCCCCGCGGTCAGGAAATGGAGAGACACTGGAATGAAGGTGTAGAGCTGTTCTTTGGGGAGTGTAGAGGTACAGAAACTATGATTTGGGCATTCTGCAGGGGGCAGTGTTCTTGAGTTTCTTGATGGTCACTTTGATACCAAGAGTGGACACACAGTGGAGAAAGAGAGTTATTGAAAGGACTCAGAGAGCATTGGGTGCTCAACGAACAACACCCTGTTTCGGACAGATATTACTTTAGAGCAGGGGTGGGGAACCTTTTTCTGCCAAAATTTGTAACATCATTCGCGGGCCATACAAAATGTGGCACTGTGGGGTAATGCACTGGACCACAAGTTCACTTTGAACTGCAAGGTTGGCTGTTCAAATTCACCAGCCACTCCTCGGAAACCCTATTCATGGTCACTGTGGGTTGGAACCGACTCAACAGCACTTAACAACAACAATATATTTAGTCAAACATTTAATTAACTTAGCTCTGGTGTGGTGCTGTAAGATAAAGCACTGGACCAGAAGGTCAGTTTGAACTGCAAGGTGGCAGTTCAAACCCATCAGTCGCTCCTTGGAAACACCATACAGGGTTGCTATGAGTTGGAACCAGCCCCACTTAACAATAACGTGATGACTAGAACTGCAGTTGCCATGGTAGCATCTGACCAAATGATTTCGAAAACCACAAAGTCGACAGTTCAAACTCACCAGCCACTCCTCAGAAACCCTATACAGGGCCACTATGAGTTGGCACTTAATAACAACAAGAACACACAACCTGTGGGCTGAACGTTCCCCATCCCTGCTCTAGAGGTTAGTGCCGCGGAGGAAGCAGATGTCCATGTAGCTGTGGTGTGAGGCCCCTGAAAGTGGGACTGACCCATGATGAAAAAATTTACCACAGTTTCATCACACCCTCCCATGAAGTCTACCTGCCTGCCTCAAGCTAGCGAAGGAGTCAAAGGAGGACCAAACTCTTCCTCAAATGCATTTGCTGGCTCCGAGGCTGTCAGGAGCCATGGACAGTTCTGGGGCGTGCAGCGCCCACTGCCCTCCCTACCAGTAGGCTGATTCCTTTAGTAGCATCTGGCAGGGAAATCATGGTGCTTTCGGTGTCTGCCCGAAGTCACTGTAATTCCTGTTAGATACCAAAGGATGTTTTATTTCCTTACAGCAAAGAAAACATTACAGAGTAATGTTTCTAGTTGTATCCTAATGGTTATAGTAACTTGCTTAAAAATATATACACACATGTATATATTCAGATGACCCTCCGCAGGCACGTATGTGGGTGGGGGTGGTGGGGGTGGGGACATAGTTCGGTGAAAATGGAAATTGTTCAAAGCCACAACTCTAACCCTAACTTGAGAGCAAAGTATATGCTCAAGAAGAAATTACTGAAATATAGCTCAATTGTGTTATACTTACCAGGTCTTGTACCAAAATAGAAAACAAGTTTGGGGAAGTTATCTAGGAACCTTGCTATTGTAAAAACTGGAAGTGTTTCAAAGGCTTCTTCCTAATAATAATTCCACTGCCCCTGTTTTAATTGTGTGCTAGAAGATCATTTCACAATATTTGACTTCCTTTATACAAAAGACAAGGGGGTTTGTTTCTGCTTCAAAAGAACAGAGTAAGGAAAGTGAACTTATTCAAGTCTTAACCAACAGAGCACATGTTACTTAGGAAGGAATTTGCTAATCTTGGCAGTTTCCGCAAGCAATGCTTTGTCAATGAAACAGGTGCACTGACATACAGCTAAAACAGATATGTAGGTCTTAGTTGTTGTTGTTGTCAGGTGCCTTCAAGTCGGAACCGACTCATAGCAACCCCATGCATAGCAGAACGAAACAATGTCAGATCCTGGGCCAACCTCACTACCGCTGCCACACTCGAGTCCATCAATGATGCTACCTAGCCAATCCTTCTCATTGGGGGTCTTCCTCTTTTTCTCTTAGTATTAAAAGAAAAAATTCTTAATCCTGCCAGTTGTTACTAAAGATTTTATAGCTGCCTTTCTAACTACTATGTAAGCACCGTTTTAGAATATTGCTATCTGCTATTTTAGAACAAAGTTTTACTGAAGTAAATCCATAAGATTAAAATGAACTCTAAATAGGTAACAATATTCCTTTTGTAATGGATGTGATAAATGTAAATTTTATAACAGCATTATTTATCCTGGTTCAATTCTAATAGAATCACATGTCAGTTTCATGTTGTGATTAATAAAAACTTTTTCCCCCCACTCAAGAAAAACAAAACATATGCCCACATAAAATCCTAAAAATGATTGTTAATGACATGTTTCATAACTGTTATGGATCGAATGGTGTCCTCCAGAAATGTGTGTCAAATTGGCTGGGCCATGATTCTCAGTGGTTTGGCAGTTATGTAAGGATGTCAGTTGGCAGTTATGTAATGATGTCATTTGGCAGTTATGTAAAGATGGCGTTTGGCAGTTATGTAATGATGTCATTTGGCAGTTGTGTAATGATGCCATTTGGCAGTTATGTAATGATGTCATCGTTCCCCCATGATGTGATCTAATATAATCAGCCAGTCAATTGTCAGGGAGTCAGGTGGGATACAGCACTCTTGCTCAGGTCATATCTCTGATCAGATCTAAGGGGAGTTTCCCTGAGGTGTTGCCTGCATCACCTTTTATCTTAGAAGAGATAGAAGGAGAGAGAAGGGAGCAGAGAGAGGGACCCCAGGACCTCCAGGAAAGAAGAGCCGAGTAGAGTCCATCCTTCAAAGCCAGGGTCCCTGCACTGAAAACCTCCCAGACCCAGGGAAGATTGATACCAAGACACATGGAGATCACCAAGGGACGTCAGGTCCACAGGTGTTGAAAGGCAACAAGGACCCATTTGCTAAAGCAATCTAACTGTAGTATTTCTGTTATGACAGCAGCAGATAATTAAGGCCATAAGCAAAAAGTGGAAAGAATCCAAATCTCCATCAAGTGATGGATAAACAAACCGTAGTGAGTCATATAATTCAGTATTATCCAGCCTTAAAAAAGGAATGAAAATAAAGACATGTTCACGATCATTAGCCTTTAGAGAGATGCAAATCAAAACAAACTCATAACAGTGAAGTTCAAAAATACAGAGTACAATAAATGCTGGCAAGGATGTGGAGAGACTGGGACCCTCCTACATGGGAATGCAGAATGGTCCAACCACTCTGGAAAACAGTATGGCACTTCCTTAGAAAGTTGGAAATAGAAATACCATATGATCCAACAATTCCTCCACAAGAAATACAAGCCATAACACGAATAGATACATGCACACCAATGTTCATAGCAACACTATTTACAATAGCAAAAAGATGGAGACAGCCTATGTGCCCACCAATGGGGAGAACGGATAAACAAACTTTGGTACATACACACAATGGAATATTATGCTACCTTGAAGAACAAGGAAGCTGTAAGCCACCATATAACATGGATGAACATTGAGGACATTATGATGAGTGAAATTAGTCAGTCACAAAAGGACAAATATTGCATAAGACCATTATTGTAAAATCTAAAGAAAAGATATCCATACTAAAAGGGAATTAAAAAAAAGGAATGAAGTTCTGGCACATGCTTCAACATTGATGAATCCTGAAAATATTATGCTAAGAAACCAGACAAAAAGGCTACATACTGTATGATTTTAAAGCAAAATATTGTGTGATCTTAAACTAAAAGTACTGTATGACCTAAAACCAAAAAATATGTCCCAAAATAACATTTAAACCAAACAGCACTTTAGCTTTCTTAGAAAAGGACGTCTACCTCTTTTAATACTGTTCTAATGAACGATCTAGATGGGATCAAGCTGACAATAGTAACTTAAAAGATTCGATAGGAAACATTGCTTCGCAGGCAGTGAGTTTGTCACTGGGGGAGGAACAATTCAGAAGAGGAGGGTGAGAATGCTTATACAACTTAATTAATTTTTTAAACAAATTCTGTGTCTCCAGCTCAGTCCATGTCACTGAATTGGTGTATGCTTTGTTGAGTATATATTTTCAACAACAATGTAAACATTGTGTTATTTACTACGGCAGGTGGTGGGCTGGATTTGGCCCCTGGCTGTAGCCTGCTAACCCCTGGCTTACAAAGTTAGTGTTTTTATGTATCTTTTTTAACCTTTCTGATCACCATTGAAGATGACTGTCTCTATTTCACATATAAATGACTTGAGGTTAGCAAGATTGTATTATTTATATGGTTTTTAATAATGTCACAGTCTCCAAAGTCTGCTAGCCCTAAGTTAGGGAAGCATCTCACATTCACAAAGCCCTATACTGGTAATTCATTATTCCCATTTTACATACAGATGAGGAAATGGAGGCATAGATTCGAGCTTGTGTCTGTTGACTTGTTAGGCATTTTGTGTGCCTTCAGTATCTTTCTCCCCACACTCCTTTCCTGCGTGTGTGCCTTCTCTCCCACTTGGTCAGCATGGTCCACAATCCTGCATCCTCTTACCCCTCCCTGCAGGACCGGATCCCCTTTGCTGTGGTCGGAGCTGACCGAGAGCATCTAGTGAACGGGAAGTGTGTCCTGGGCCGGAAGACCAAGTGGGGCATCATTGAAGGTCAGTGAGAGCCAGCGGCAGTTTGAGGGCCACACAGGTGAGAGTGAACTATACAAACCAGGTGTGCCTGAGTCGGTTAGCCCACAGACAGGCTGTGGGAATGAAGGGAGTCACCTGACTCTCTAGCCAGTCCTTCTGTCTCACAGTAAAATGGGTTTTGTCATCATATCAACCTCATGGAGGGTGTAAAGAAAGGAGGATTCGCCACTGGCTGCCAGAAGTCGCCATTCACTCAGCAGAGTTTATTGTGAGCTTCCCAGGGATGCAGCTAAAGCAAGACAGACCAGGTCCCTGTCCCCATGGAGCTTCCATTCAGGTGGGAAGAAATACGTGAGGGTGAGGGTTGTCTTAGCTCTCTAGGGATGCTGTAACAGAAACACCACAAGGGAGGGGCCTTCACAAACATAGACTTATGTTCTGTCCGTTCAGGGGCCTAGAAGACTGAATTCTGGGAGCCAGTCCCAAGGAAGGCTTTTTTTCTCACTCTGCTGGCTCTGGGCTTTAGGGGAAGGTCCTTGTCCTTTGTCTCTCCTGAATAGCGGTCATATAGGGTGGCATCTGTCTTCCCCTCTACCTGCTTGCTTGCTGGCTGGGTGGTTGTGTGCTCTTGAGTCAGTTCCAACTAATAGCAACCCTGTATAGGGTTTCCGAGCCTGTGAATTTTTACAGGAGGAGAAAGAAAGCCTTCTCTTTCTCTCATGGAGTGGCTGGTGGATTTGAATTGCTGATCTTTTGGTTAGCAGTCCAACACAGAGTTCCTTACCCTGCTCTTTCATATCTCAAAAGATATTGAGTTGACACATACCCTACACTAATACAACCTTTTTAACATAACAAAGAAACCTGTTTCCAAGTGAGATTGTTGTTGTTGTGAAGAGCCAGTTGGTTCTGACCCATAGTGACCCTCTATAGGGTATCTGAGCAGCAGCTGCTAAGCTTGAACCACCGACCTTGCAGTTCAAACGATTTTGCAGTCTGGCACATTAACCCACAGCACCACACCAGGACTCCTAAGTGAGATTGGTGGTGGAGGTTACGTGCCGTGGAGTCAATTCCGACTCATAGTGACCCTGTACAGGGTTTCCAAGGCTGTAAATCTTTACAGGAGCAGAAAGCCTCATCTTTCTCCTGCGAAACAGCTGGTAGTTTCGAACTGCTGACCCTGAGATTAGCAGTCCGACTCATAACCACTACGCTACCAGAGCTCCTTATAACCACAAAAAGAAACCCGTCAATTTTCAGGTTGATTTCCACTTATAAGACAAGGCAGAACTGCCCCATAGGGTCTCTCTCCAAGGCTGCCATCTTCAGGGAAGCATACTACTACATCATTGTTTCGGTTAGTAGTCAAACATTTAACCACAGAGCCACCAGGGCACAGGTATGGTTGGTTGTTGGTTAAGTGTCCCTGAGTCATAGCAACCTTACATAGGGTTCCCTAGGAGCAGGTGATGGGTTTGAACTGCCAACCTTGCTGTTAGTGGTGGTGGTGTATTGTGGAGTTGGTTCCAACTCATGGCAACCCTGTTACGGTTTCCAACGCTGTAAATCTTTACCAGCGCAGAAAGCCTCATCTTTCTCCCGCGGAATGACTGGTAGTTTTGAACTGCTGACCTTGAGGTTAGCAGCCCGATTCGTAACCACTACACTACCAGAGCAGTCAGTATTTCAGTACTTATCCTAGAGTGTCGCACGGACTCCTGGGTATGTTGTTGTTATTAAGTGCCTTCGAATCGATTCTGACTCTTAGAGACGCTGTATAGGGTTTCCAAGGAGCGGCTGGTGAGTTTGAACCACAGCCTGTGGTCCAAGCCAACATTGCAGTACAGTGCTTTATTCTACAGTGCCACACCAGGACTCCAAGCATACGTTTGTTGTTGTTGTTGTTGTTAAGTGCCGTTGAGTAGGTTCTGACCAATAGCAACCCTGTATAGGGTTTCCAAGGAGCATTTGGTGAGCTTGAACTGCTGACCTTGTGGTTCAAATCAACTTTGCAGTCTAGAGCTTTAACCCACAGCGCCACACCCGGACTCCAGGCATAGGTATGTTGTTGTTGTTGTTGTTGTTGCATAGGTATAGAGGTTAGGATTTACATCACATATTTTTTGGGGGGGTGGCGGGACACAATTCAGTACTTAACAAGGGAAGACCACCGTAAGGATCCAGGGAAGGCTTCTCTAATTATTATTAAAATGTAATGACTGAGGAATGAACTCAACCACTTCTTCTAGGAGTCCCCTGTTCCTGGCACTGAGGATATGACATTGAGTGGGTGGCTGAAAGAAGGGAGGAACAGGAGTCAGGGAGTGTGGGGGGAAGGGCTATAGTGACACACTCACTGTGGCAGCATACAGTAGGCGCTCAATCAATGACCTGTGTCTTGTAGTGGAGAACATCTCTCACTGTGAGTTTCCACTCCTGAGAGACCTCCTCATTCGGTGAGTATATGGGTAGCCCAGGGGTCAGGGGCTGGAGGGGACCGGGGGCACCCCGACTGTGGCTGACCTGCTTCCTGCCTCCCAGCTCCCACCTACAAGACCTGAAGGACATCACCCACAACGTGCACTATGAGAATTACCGGGTCTTCAGACTCAACGAGAGCCATGTATTGCCCCGTGGGCCAGGCTGGGTGAACCTGGGCCCAGTGCATCCCGGATCCCCAGTCTTGCCCGGGCCCTCGAAGGCCCACCGACGGGTCCAGGAAGACTCAGAGGAGGAATTCTGAGCCCCGGAGGATCTCCCAAATCTGCCACAGTATACCTGTGTATGCCTCTGTATTCGAGCATCTATTAAAGGTGGACATTGCTTTATCGGAAAAGCTGTGCTTTGAAAACCAAAGGTGCTTGTAAATATCTTCTTTGCGTTTTCTTCAAATAAAAGTTCTTTTGTAACTAATAGTGTGAGACCCGAGGCCCTGGGGAGTCTTGAAGACCCAGGAGGAAGTGCTGTGGACCATCAATCCTTCCTTGTCCTAGACCTGACTCACCAGCCACTCTTCAAGATGCCAGATTCCTTGTCTGTCCCAACCCTTGGGTCCCAGCACAGCACCAGCTTCCCTGGGACCAAAGCTTTCAAACTCCACAGCTTTGGTAACTCATTGGATGTCTTCTCTGAAGTCTGTGCCTCTCCTGTCTTCATCTTTTCCAACTCCTAGGGACCCTGTTAGACATATAAAACTAATCCACAGAGTTTCAAAGACTGTAAATCTTTACAGAAGCAGACATGCTTCTTATAGAGATGCCAGTGGGTTTGAACCACTGAACTTTCTGTTAGCAGCCCAATCTTTAACCTACTGCGCCACCATAGTTGAATTTGCAGAGCCGCTTTAAGCATCCCAGCTCTGCTGCTGACAAGTGGTGTGACCTGGGGCAAAGCACTGGCTAAGTTTTTGCCTCAGTTTTCCCATCTGTAAAATAGGAATAATTGTACTGCTCACAGAGCACTGTTGTGTGGATATTGTCTGTTGTTTGCCATTGAGTCAGTTCTAACTCATAGTGACCCTGTGTAGGGTTTCTGAGAGTGCTGGCTGGTGTGAACTGCCAAGCTTACTGTTAGTAATATAGTGCTTATGCTCCAATGCCACAGCAGGGCTCTAAAGCAGAATAACTCATGGACCACAGCACAGAGAAGTCTGTGTGTCCCTTCCATCTGCTTTAGATGCTTTCAGCCTCATTCAGTATTTTGCACATAGAGTCCTTCAATAATGCAAGTCAAGGCTTGAATTTTTGCTAAGCAGCATCTTCCGGTTTTCTAACTCCAGGTCTTTGCATATTTCATTCTAACACTTGACTTGTCTTTGAGCTGCCCTTTGAAATGTTCTGTTCAGTTCTTTTACCTCCTCAATTTTTCCATTTGCTTTAGCATCTCTAAGCTGGAGAGCAAGTTTCAGAGTCTCTTCTGATGTCAGTTTTGGTTTTTCCCTCCTTTCTTGTCTTCTTTATGAACTATTGTGTTCTTCCTGTATGATGTTCTTGATGTCATCCCACAACTCTTCTGCTCTTCGGTCATTAGTGTCTAATTCATCATATCTGTTCTTCAGATGATCTGTAAATTCAGGTGGGTTATGTCCAAGGCCATATTTTGGCTCTCGTGGACTTGTTTTCATTTTCTTCAGCTTCAGTTTGAATTTGCATACGAGCAATTGATGGTCTGTTCCACAGTCTGCCTCTGGCCTTGTTTTCACTGATGATATGGAGCTTTTCTACATTCTCTTTCCACAGATGTAGTCAATTTGATTTCTGTGTATTCCATCTGGTGAGGTCTATTTGTATATTCATCTTTTATGTTGTTTTAAAAAAGATATTTGCAATGAAGAAGTCATTGGTCTTGCAAATTCTATCATGCCATCTCCAGCATCATTGCTATCCCCAAGGCCATGTTTTCCAACTACCGATAGATCCTTCCTCTTTGTTTCCAGCCTTTGGATCAATCACTAGTAATGATCACTACATCTTGATTGCATGTTTGATCAATTTCAGACTGAAGAAATTGATAGAGTTGTTCAGTTTCATCATCATCACTCACTTTAGTGGTTGGTACGTAAATTTGAATAATAGTGGTATTAACTGGTCTTCCTTGTAGGCATATGGATACTATTCTACCACAGACAATGTTGAACTTCAAGATAGATCTTGAAATATCCCTGGAAAAGGGCATCATGCTTGGAAAGTGTAAGGTCAGTGAAAAAGAGAAAGACCCTCAGTGAGATGGCTTGGTACAGTGGCTCCTACAATGGGGCTCAAGCGTAGCTACATCAGTGAGGTTGGCGCAGGGCAGAACAGTGCTTCGTTCTAATGTGCATAAAGTCGCTGTGAGTCCATACTGACTCAACAGACCTAAAAATAACAGCATAAAGAAACGTCCACAAACAGGTGATGGTGACAGACTATGATGGAGTCCAGGAGAGGATGTGAGCCTTTTCCCAGGCCCCTCCCTCAGGTCTATCCCGATCCACAGGGACCTGATAGGACAGAGGAGAGCTGCTGCTCAGCATTTCTGAGATTGTAAATTAACTGCCTGGGCTTCCTCCCGATGGAGCAGCTCGGTGGGTTTGAACTGCTGACCTTGCAGTTAGCAGCTGGATGCTTAACCCATTGTGCCACCATGATCCGCTGTTGTTGTTAAGTGCAGTCAAGATGGTTCCGAATCATAGTGTTCCCTGTATGGGGTTTCCAGGGAGCAGCTGGTGAGTTTGAACCACCAACCTTGTGGTTCAAACCGACCTTGCAGCTCAGGGCTTTATCCCACAGTGCCATACCAGGACTCTGTGGAGCCCTCTAAACTAAGTGAATTTCATGTAGTTCCCCATTGCAGAGGTCATAGGTAAGTTCATTTCTTAGCAAATGGAAGGGTGTATGAATTAAATGTGCTCTGCCCGCCCCCCACAAAAGAAATGTCTGTTGTTCATCTTCTCCCTATGGTTATAATCTCTTTTGGGGATTTGGGAATGCATTGTCTTTGTCACGTTAAGGAGGCAGTATTGCTGTTGTTGTTGTTGGTAACCGTCTTTGAGTTGGTTCTAATTCATAGCGACCCTGTATGGGTTTTCAACGAGTGGCTGGTGAGTTTTGAACCACCAACCTTGCAATTCAAACCGACCTCAAGGGCCAGTGTTTATTCTATAGTGCCACACCAGGAGTCCAGTTTAGGGGGTACTTAGAGTCCATTTCTTATAAAATATAAAAAGAACAGATTAAGACAAGCAAAGAGTCCTGGTAGAGCTGTGGGATAAGCATCGGACTGCAGGTGGTTCAAACCCACCTGCCACCCTGTGGGAGAAGCATGAGGCTGCATGCTGCTGTAAAGAGTTACTGTCTTGGAAACCCTCGACAGGACTCCTGCTAGGAGTCAAACTGGATTCAATGGCAGTGGGTTCAAGGATCTTCTCAGAGCTGAAGACAAGGACCTTCTTCCAGGGCCAACAGAGCCTACACCCTGAATTCCAACTGCTAGCTCCCTAAACTACATTTCTTCCTGCTAAAGCCATCTAGTGTGGTATTCTTTTTGTAACAACACTGAATAACTAAGGCAGAGGGTGAACCCTAAAACCTAGGAAGCTGGGGAGACACCTAAGTTATAGGAGTAAGCCTTCAGTAAATAACTGTGGTGAGTAATACTATTATCTCAGCTAAAAGTCCCCTCCTCCATGCAGTCCTCCTTGACTTCTCCAGGTAGGTAGAGGGACTGCTCCCTTGTGAATATATCACATGGTTTGGTTCTCAGTCAGTCTCTCCCATTAGACTGGGAGCTCTGTGAGGACAGAAATATATCTGATGAGCCACCCTGTTTCCAATGTGTGGAACAAAAGAATCCTACAGAGTCTGCCCCATAGATATTTACTAGTGGGATTTACAAACCTGCCCCTCCAGGCCTACTGTAGGTTGACCACAGGCTTGCAGAGCCCCCAGGGACCAACACCATCCAGAGCCAACGTCTCAGGTGTCCTGCATGACACCAGATTCCTGAAGTTAAGATGATCCCTGAGCAATAGGGCGACATCTACATCATTTCAAAAGCTCTTAGCATGACTGCATTTCAAGAAGTTTATTGTAAAGATAAACCAGGGTTTCTCAGCCTTGGTGCTTATGACATATTTGGCCAACCATTTCTCTTGTGTGAGGAGTGGGGTGGGCCAGGGGTGGGGGTGGGGGGATTGTCCTATGCGTTGCAGGATGTTTTGCATCATCCCTGTCCTCTATTCACTAGATGCCAATAGTATCTCCTCCCCAATTGTGACAGTCAAAACAAAGGTCACAAAATGTCTCCAGATATTTCCAAATGTTCCTTTGGGGACATAGTTGTTCCCCGTTAAGGATTGCTGACTGGAATAGACTTGCACACATCAGAGAAGGGCGAGACTTTATCTCCCGTCCTTTGGACATGCTCTCAGGAGAGACCAGTTTCTGGAGAAGGACATCATGCTTGGTAAAGCAGGGGGTCAGAACAAACAGGAAGCCCCTCAGTGAGATGGGTCGATACAGTGACTGCAAGAGTACTCTGTTGTGTTGTACATCGGGTCCCTGTGAGTCAGAACCAACCCCACAGCACCTAAAAACAGCAGTAGCATACCAAACCCAGAAAACTCGGCTGATGGTTGGGTCCATAGGGCAAAAGTTTAAGATAATAAATAGCCTAAATTTTAGAGGTAATAATTAGCTTGTTTCTTTCGGTTTATGTGTAGCCAACATTGTAGATCTTCAGTTCCTACATTCCAGACAAATAGGCAACTTGTTTGTTGTTAAGTGCTGAAAGTCAGTTCTGGGTCAGAGAGAACCTGTACACAATAGAAGGAAACCTGCCCAGTCCGGCACCATCCCACAATTGTCATTTTGAACCCAATGTTGCTGCCATTGTGTGTACCCATCTCGTTGGGAGTCTTCCTCTTTCTCACTGATCCTCATGGTACTCCCAATATTCTTTACGAACATCATAATTCAACTGTATCTATTCTTCTATGGTCTTCCATTCACATGCCTATGAGGCACTGGAGAGAATCATGGCAAGTAAAATTTTGCTGAAGGTAATTAAAAAATAGTTGCAGCTGTACATCAGCCAGGAGCTGCCCGAGATTCAAGCAGGATTCAGAAGAGGACAGAGATGATATTGCTGACATTAGATGGATCTTGGCTGAAAACAGAGAAGGCCAGAAAGATGTTTATTTGTGCTTTATTGACTATGCAAAGGCATTCAGTTATGGGGATCATAACCAACTATGGATAACATTGA